GGGGGGGGGGGGGGGAATTCTGGGAGTTGAAGTCCACATATCTTAAAGTTGCTAAGGTTGAGAAACACTGGTCTGGACTTAAAAAGCATTTTTCAGCCCCTTTGCCTAGGTAACAGTTCCTGCATATCTCCGCCAAGGTCATCCTCCTGACTCTCTACATCCATGCTCTCAGCCATTTGTTCACTTCCAGGATCCTGCTTTCCTTTCTTGACCACCAGTGAAGAGGATGGATTCAAATCCACTTGGGTTCCTACCTCCTTTGTCTTCCTATCTGGAGCTTGACAGCTGCTTGTAATCCACTGATGTTTACCTCCTTCTAGCAGGGCTATTTGTCTCTGTATGGATCTGCAAGGATGGAGAGTGACCAGTCATTTCAGTGAGCCTTGGTCATCCTGGAAACACACGTACTTCTTGATAGTTGGTAGGTCTGCATAGCTGCTTCTGTCCCTGAGTCTCAAACCATCACCACGTTTCTTTTCCTCTTCAGTAGAGAGCTACATTTTTGGGGCCTCCAATGGAGCTTTCCATTTTTTGGAGAGGTTAGGATGACAAAACTGTTCCAGGCGGTTCAAGCTCAACTTTCATGCCCAGCATTTCAGACTGGTTGATCAGCTCCATCACCATGAATTTCCACCCAGTTCATCCACTCTGCATTGCCACACACTTCCAAGCACTACAGGTAGTCTTCACTAAACTATAGTAATTGGGACCTGCAATTCCATCACTAAGCGATGTGGTCATAAAGCACATAGTCACGTGACTGCACCAACTTACAACGGCAGTTGCAGCAGTCTCAGCTGCCACTGTTAGGCAAATCCTGCAGGGTCGCAGCATCCCTCAGTCGGCGATCACCATTTGTGACCTCCTGCCAGCTTCCCCATTGATTTTGCTTGTCAGAAGCTGGCCGTGAAGGTTGCGAATGATGATCATGCGACTGTGGGGTGCTGTGATGTCATAATTGCAAGCCAGTTGCCAAGTGCCCAAATTGTGATCGCGTGACCACGGGGATGCTGCGACGGCCACAACTATGAGGACCTGTCATAAGTTCCCCTTGTTCAGTGTCGTCGTAACTTCAAATGGTTGCTGAACGAGTGGTTGTTCAAACAAGAACTACCTCTATTCCCTCTGATCTTGGACAACTTCCTGTGTCCTCCCCAACTAGGAGAGTTCTTCTTCTGCTGGCCTCCAAAGGCATCTTGCTTTCTAACGTGTGCTGACTGATCTTCAGATGGGAGTGGAGGCTGCTAACTGGTCATCTCACTAGTGGATGAGTCAGATGCAGGTGTAAGCCCCGCCTTCTCAGTCCAGGTGCTCCACAGATAAGCACCCCCCACCCCCCAGTCTGCAAATTTTATTGATTTCTTAAAAATTTTGAACTGCCCAATAGGGAAAGCTCTCTGGGTGGTTTACGATAAAACACACTAAAAATGCAGCCTGAATGAAACCATATACAATAAAATGCAAAGCCAAGCCCCCTATAAACTAGGCAGCTGCAAGGCGGTCGTTCCGAAACTAAAACAATATGAATTCAAGTGTAACTAAAATGCAGTGAAAAGCCAGTGAAAAAGCTGGGAAAGTACCAGGGGCGCCCGTTCTGCCTCTCAGGGAGGGAATTCCATAAATGGGGTGCCACCCCGGAAAAATGTTCTCCCCTTGGTAGAGGCCCACCTCACCTCCTTTGGTGACGGGACCTGGAAGAGGGTCTCATTAAATGAGCGTAACATCTGGGCAGGTTCTTGTGGGAGAAGACACTCCTTCAAGTAGCTGGTCCTAAGCCATTAGGGCCTTAAAGGTGCTAAAAAGCTATTATAGAGCTGAACTCTGGGATACCTAAGGAAAGAAGACGGTTACGTAGCACACTTAATGGTCGGTCTGTGTGTTTGTGTGTGCGTGTTCCTTCGAGTCAGCGGTGACTCCCGGACTGCCCGGACAAGTCCCTGCAGTTTTCTTGGTGAGATTTCAGAAGAGGCTTGCCCTTGCCTGCTTTCGAGGGCTGGGAGAGAGAGACTGGCCCAAGGTCACCCAACTGGCTTCATGGTTAAGGTGGGACTAGAACTCACGCTCTCCCAGTTTCTACTCTGACCACTACACCAATTTGGCTCTCATTATTGGCCTGTTTATATAGCCACTAATAAGCAGTTATTTGTTTGCAAGCCTACAATTAATCTGGCAAAGATCATGTATTGCAAGAGTGAAAAAAATCAACCAGGTAAGTCATTGCATATTTGCAGGACGTTCTAAACCAGTATTTCTCAACCTTGGCAACTTTAAGACCTGTGGACTTCAACTCCCAGAATTCCCCAGCCAGCAAGGCTGGCTGGAGAATTCTGGGAGTTGAAGTCCACAGGTCTTAAAGTTGCCAAGGTTGAGAAACACTGTTCTAAACTATTGGTACATTAACCTATATCGGCTCTAACCAGATTCCTCATTTCTTTCTTCGGTGAGTGAGAATCTCTAACTTGAATTTCAAAAAATCATAAAATCCTCAAGTTGGAAGGGAGCAGGGAGGCCATGTATTCGAAACCCAGCTGGGTGCAGGAAACCAGTGAAAATGCCTCTGCGTCCCTCCTCCACTTGAACTTCAACAAAGACAACATTGGTTCCTCCATCAAACTGAACTTGTTCACTGGAAAAATGTTCCAACCGTTCTGTTGGAATCTGATTTCCTGTCCCGTCCATCCATTTTTCCACTCTGCAGTGAAAAAGAACACACCTGGCTGGACGTTTTCCTTTGGGACATGTTTTCAAATTTCGGAAGAAAAGCTGAAGAATAGCTTTTATTTCAGAGGTGTAACTATACTGAACTCTACTGTATAGTGCGATATTAATGCAGCATCAGGGGTTGTGCAATGGTGAATGGAATGTGAAGGTGTGCAATGGTTGTGCAATGGTGAATGGAATGTGAAGGTGTGC